TGGGCATCGTTTAAATGCCACGGCCTACCTGAGCATTGTTTCTGACCATGTCCATCCCTTTATGGCCACCATGTACCCATCCTCTGATGGCTACTTCCAGCAGGATAATGCACCATGTCACAAAGCTCGAATCATTTCAAATTGGTTTCTTGAACATGACAATGAGTTCACTGTACTAAAATGGCCCCCACAGTCACCAGATCTCAACCCAATAGAGCATCTTTGGGATGTGGTGGAACGGGAGCTTCGTGCCCTGGATGTGCATCCCACAAATCTCCATCAACTGCAAGATGCTATCCTATCAATATGGGCCAACATTTCTAAAGAATGCTTTCAGCACCTTGTTGAATCAATGCCACTTAGAATTAAGGCAGTTCTGAAGGCGAAAGGGGGTCAAACACAGTATTAGTTTGGTGTTCCTAATAATCCTTTAGGTGAGTGTATAGTATGTATGTGTGTGTGTGTGTGTGTGTGTGTTTCACATGCATTTTTGAAAGAAGTCTCTTATGCTGACCAAGGATGCATTTATTGTATACATTTTTTTTTAAAACAGTAATATTGTGATCAATTGATATTGGTGTTTAATTATTATTATTAATTACAATCAATATTAATGTTTTTGCCATTTAATATTTTTGTGGAAACTGTGATGCATTTTCTTTCCACATTATTTGATGAAAAGAAAGTTCAATGATCAAAATTTATTTGGAATAGAAATATTTTGTAACATTTATAAATGTCTTTACTGTCACTTTTGAACAATTTAATGCATCCTTGCTGAATAAATATATATTATTATTATTATTAAATCTTTCTTACCCCAAACTTTTGAATGGTAGTGTATCACAGTTATTTTAAATTTCAATCATATTTCACAATATTACTGTTTTTACTGTATTTTTGATCAAATAAATGCAGTTTGGTGAGCATAAGATACTTTCTTTTGATCGGTCAAACTATTAAAGAGATACATGGTACAGAATAATTGCTCTAGGTATAACCTTATGAAACATATCTTACAAATAAACATCACTGACTTTGATGCTGTCACGTTGTGGGTTTTGTGTCTTGTTCCTTGTTCTTGTCTGTCTTGTGATCCTGCCATGTGTCTTGTCTTTGGTTAACCGTCTGATCGTTGTTCACAGGTGTTCCTTGTCTTTTAATTAGTCTGTGTATTTAAGCCCTCATGTTTGCCTTGTGTCTTTGTCTAGTATTGAATGTTTCTTGTCCAGGTTTCTGGTCGTTGTTCTTGTTTCTGTTTCATGCCTTTGTTTGATTATGTTTTGAAGTAAAGTTGCATTTGGGTTCTCAACCAGCTTGCCTCCAGTGGATTCATTCATGACAGATGCTTTGATGTTTGATGATGGAAATAACAGCTAGAGAGCGGGTTGCAATAAAAGGCTTGCCACACTTCAACGCACATAAAATCAAATGAATCCAGAGAGAGGAAATGAAATGGTCCTATTAGCCTGAGTCCAGTTTAATGCCTGAAACAAGACACTGAATCCCTGACTGTAATAAATCTTTTTTTGTTGTTGCATTAATTCAAAGCATCTAATCATGAACTCTGACACCACTGCTAATAAAAAATGCAAGACATATCATCATGGCCTGTCTCACGGTGGAGATGGAGAAAATATTTACTTTGCAAAATGCTCAAGGTTGTTCTGAGCTCACATGCATCGAATTATGTGACCAGTGTGAACAAATTCTATTAATCCAACCAGTGGGACTGTAAAGTCGATTGCTCAAGACGAGCACACTTTTTCACTAATAGCAAAGGATTGTGATAGCTATATTTGCACTAAAACATTTTTTCTGCTCTCCACGTTTCCGTTAAGGGGTGAACCATGGTAATGGCACAGTAACTGAATGCAATGTCGCCAGGGCAGAAACACAGCTTTGTTCCACTGACATTAAATCCTCCTCGAAAGCAGCACTCAACCCTGACAAACACATGCATGCTTTGGGGCTCTGCATAGAGAAGCACATAAAAGGCTCTCAAACAGCGAGGCTAAATAATTGATTACCTTTAAAAAGCATAATCTATGCTCTTTAAGGTATTCTGTGTGGGGATTAATTGGCTTTTTCGTGATCTAAGTTGCAAATCCTCTTTCATTAGGTCCCTTTGCCAGCTATAGCATCCCCAGAGACGAACAGTCACTAACCTTTTAATTTTGCAACATATGCAGCTGAATGGGTAGAACAAATTGTTCATCAGCACTATGAATAAGGTCTGATTTCAAAAATAAGCGATATTAGAGAATGCTTGTCCATGAAAAACTCGCCGCCATAATGCTTGAGTGTGATTGCCAGAGCTTTGCTATGCCATTGTTAAAGTGTTCTGAGTGGTTTTACCATGCTTCTGTGCAGTTACTAGAGTATTCAGAGTGGTTACTATGGCATTGCTAGGTGACTGCTAGTGTATTCTGGTTGATCTATGAAAGCTGCATGGTGGTATTAGCAAAAACTGTGCAGGATTAGTTGCACTCAAAAGTTTAATTTTTATCATAAGAAGTTTGTTCAAATCCCTAAGCACAAGTATGAGCAGTACTAACTGATGCTTGCATTCACAATTTTTTTAGATTAAAAAGCCAAGCAACAGGGATAAGACAGAATTTTGCATGAAATATCTTAGGAATATACTGCATGTCAAACGGAGACTCTCAACGGTGTCATTGCATCATATGAGCTAAATCTGAAAAGATCATTTTAGCATTCTATGCCCCATCAGCTCCACAGTATATCACAAGTGGCTGGTTATGTAACCATGTAGCCAAGAAACACAAATACCAAGGCTATCTGTTGGCTATTAATTATCAAATTTTTTCTCCTTGCCAGGCCCCTTCTGTCAGTAGTGTGGTTAGGTGTCAACAGACCTTGGTATTTCCAGTTACTTCATGATACTGGTATTTTATCTTCTCAGTTCCTGGCACTGATGGGTAGGCTATAAGGTTTTGGAATAAAGATAAAATACAACAATAAGAGCTTACGGTTCTAAGATTGCATGGAAAATAAATAGGTCTGTTTAGAATGCCCAACAAACTAAGTTCGTATCGCATTAATGTTATATAGTTAATTAATGTTCACACACACACACACACACACACACACATATATATATATATGTATAATAGTGCTGCCAAATCGATTAATCATGACATATAACATAAAAGTTTTTGTTTACATAATAGATGTTTGTAGCCTATGCATATGAATATGTATTGTATACGTCTGTGTGTGTGTGTATATACAGTATACACACACATACACACACACACACACACACACACACATATATATATATATATATATATATACACTGTATGTGTTTATATACAGACCCATGCGCACACACACAGATATATATATAATATCAATAGGCTAGGTTAATAATATATAGGCTATACACACACACACACACACACACATCTATTATGCTATTACGTCTATATTTATTATAAACCTTTATGTTAGATGTGATTAATCATATAGCCTATATGCAAACATTATGTAGCCTATATCTACTCCCCCCCCCCCCCCCCCCCCCCCCCCCCGACACTTATGACTACTTAAAATCCAACTTCAAGCGGATTTTGGCATATTTAGATCTTCAGTATTGCGTAATAGTAATGATATTTCTCACTTTTTGTCGACAATGGTGGATAAGTCTTGGATTTGCTAAGTAATCTAGCAGTTAATTAAATGGAACTATAATGCTTGCTTGGCATGCTGGTATTGACAAGCAGTATCGGGTACAGTCATTCTTCATTATATTATAGTCCTACCTATAAATACAAAATAAATTAAAATGATGATAAATTTGTTGGTGCTGCAATCCAGTTTCGGTCATACACATGCACAGATGTGCCCTCACATATTGCATCTCTTTAACTTGAGTTATAAAATTACCGGAACACAAGAGCCAATATCTGAATGATATCTCAGTCCAATACAGACAACCCCGCCAATTATTTCTCAGTTTGAAGCTCTTATTAATTCATAAGAAGTCTGTGAGTCCGCAGCAATTGTTATAACATGACAGCCCGCTTGACTGGAGAGGCTCCAGCAGCACTAAATTAATTCCCTGTCCATATATAATTCACTAGTCGCTCGTCCGTATCAAGCATTTTCTTACCTGTAGATTAAATCCAAGGTGATCAGGAGAGTTTCAGATAAAAAACTAGCGTGCCTTCTTGTTATTTAAAACCATAAACAGTCATTACTTTGCTTTGCGACGTCACGGTGACATATACGCTGTACAATATCAGAGCGCGAGATGAAAGAGCGCACGAGACGCGCAGCGTGTGAATGACGACGGCTGTCAGGCTGGAAGATATTCAGTGTAGTGGCTTCCTGTTACATCATCACTGGTTATCCCCGCCTCGATGGCACATTGAGCATTCCATACACTGTTTGCTTTATGCAATTGTAAATCACAAGATGTAACGTAATATATATTATTGGTATATCCAAACAATTCTAGCTTCTAAAACTAAAAATCTTTTTAGTTTTATTATTTGCTGATACCTTTTTCTTAAACGTACATTTATTTTTCTTAATGTACATTACATTTTATGTTGAAATTTAAAGTTTTATGTCTATTTGATGATGGGATATTTGAGGACACAGTCATTTAGGTAACACTTTATTTGAGTGTCCTCCTTGTTACACGTTACATGTAGGCCTACTTAATATAGTAATAACAGTAAATTAATCATAATTACATGCAACTAACTATAAAGCAAACCCCATTCCTAACCTAAACTCTAAAGTAAGTAGCTGTTGTTAATTATGCACTGTGATTAAGTACTGAGTGATATTAATTACACTGGAACAAGGACACCTTAACATAAAGTTTAACCTTAATTTGAATTTAAAGAATGTATATTCTTATTTTGAAGTAAAAAGTTAGACCCTCTAGAAAAGATGACCCATATAATTTTGGGCCAATTTTCCCATCTCATGACATTTTCACAGAAAAATATGTACACAATAAGTACATTGAATCAAATGTTTTAAATTTTAATAACCTCCACCAGTCAACTAAGAAACATAATGAAAGATCATTCAAATATAACTGTTTAAAAAAAAGTTCAGGTAAAGGAATATTAACAACTGGTAGTGGATTCCAAAATGTCTTCTCAAGAGTAACAGCTCCATCTTGTGTAGTATCTTAAGCATTTTTTTTGTACAAGTCTATCATCAAGTTCTACAATCCTTTTCACAAAAGAATCACTAGCACTCTATTGGTAGTTATGCAGCTATAGAGAGGTGAGATGGTCTTACTGATGATCTGTTAGTCACATTTAGTATATTTTATTATACAATTTTAAGTTTTTTTTAATGCTAGACTCAACTCTCAATGGATTTATCCCTGTGTCCTGGATAAAAGACAGTTATTTCCCTCAAGTCATTACATACAAACAATGGCATAAGTTCAAGGACACAGTGCAAGGGCAGCAAAAGTAAACATTTTGGAGTGTTTACTGTGTATACACATTATAAAAAAACAAAGAATTAGTACAGTATGTTTGAACATTGAGAACAATTTTACAAAAAAAGAAGAAAGGATTTAGAATCCTCAGCAAATATTTATAACTGCCATAAATACAGTGTTAAAATAGATCCATAAGCGCATTGTGAAAAAATGATATGAGTAATTTATAATGTATGTTAATAAGTAAATTTGTCCTTTCTTCCCCATAAAACAATATAGAGTGGAAAATTATGTTTTACACTTAAAATACATAGAATAACTTCATATATGAAGCCAAGATTAAAATCCATTAACTGTAATAATTATATACATGATAATAATGTGTGGGTCAGCAAGATACAATCACATGCTGCTGTCTCTTATTTTCTCGACCACAATACCAAAGCTGCACAATGTGGATTAAAGAGTGGTTTCGCATTTGGTATCATGAAAATATATGTCCTAGACAGATCGGAATAAGATATTTGAGTTCCTCGTCTTTATCCGTATTTGCTTTCTCCGACCGTGATCTGAAAGAGAAAACATTGAACATAGAGAATCAACAATACACATAAATCTTGCTTTACTTTTCACTCTGTCTCTTTGAGCATGCATCATCATCATTATTGACACTAAACTATGCAGTTCTTCTCAATTAAAATATTAAAGGTGCAGTAAGCGATTTCTGGTAAATGCTGTTGATATTTGAAATCACCAAAACAAGCAAGTCCCTACCCAAATGGATCACACCCGTATCTTGATGCCTCCCCCCCACATTCACGTACACGCTATGCAACACAGGCAACGACTATGGCGAAGTCTGCTGTGCCTGCCGCCCGAGGGTATGATGTCATCAATAAGTGAAAGCAGTTTGTGTTACTATGATAATTCAGGTCGAATGTCTGATAGTTATTTAGCTCCTCTACTCCTTCGATGGCAAAGTCATCCCTTCCATCCCAAAAAACGAACACAGTTTTCATGAACTGCTCCCTACATAACACGACAGTCCATGTGGGTTATACAGTATGTTATATATCGATCACTATAAGGGGGACCAAAATACAATTTTTTTATATATGGAGTATGTTATCTCACTGTTCAGACACACTTTGGGAGCCGATGCTTAAAACAGGCAGGAGAGGAGGTTTACACGTTTCAGGTTTTATAATAATAATAATGCATTTGAAAAACCAAGCGAAGATGACAAACGAGTATATTCAAGCAAAAGACAGCATATCTTAGTTCTGTGAAACACAGCAAAACCAACGTTACTCATGTGTCGAGAAGAAATAAAGCAACCTCGGCATCCGTTTTCAGGCTTTCCCGCTCCTTAAAGAGCAACGTGCAGGTTGAATTTATAACTGAATTAATACTTGATATTGTCTGAAGAGGTCTTTTAAAAACACATATGTAGAAATTACTAATGAAATCTCATTTGATGTAGAAATTTTGATGAAAATGTGCTAGGCTCTGGAATACGCCTTTCCCGCTAGCAACGCGTCATATGACGTAGGCCGAGGCAAACAAGAGCTCGCGTTCAGCTCTAGTTAGAGCAGTAGTGAGAGACAGAGAAAGTTTTAGATCGAGTTTTAGAGATGCCATCATGGTAAATTATTGTGTTTGTGCTGGTTGCACGAATTCCAGTCTGTCAGGACATCGTGTCCATCATTTTCCTTCTAGGAAAAACAAGGCTTTTCGTTCTTGGGTGCGTTTTGTGCAGGTGAAGAGAGCAGACTTCACTGCCGCGTCTGTCACCACACACTCGGTCGTTTGTAGCGCACATTTTACTCCGGAGAATTATAGACCTGGAGATTTTTTGCATCACAGACAGATGGTTTAATTAATACGGCTTTGCAAACATTGCATTTTGCTGTCTTGCTCTGCGGTGTTTCCATTGTGAAGTATTTACACACAGCGAACATGTTGGCAGCTCAATGCTATCCTGCTTGCTGGCTGCAAACTGCGGAATGGATTTCCTGAGGGGGGTCTCTGTGTCTCATTGAGCGGCACCCCCGTTCAAGAAACCCATTCCACAGTTTGCAGCCAGCTAGCAGACTGGCCGGCGGGAATCACTTTTGGAGTCATTTCAGCAGGATATCGGATATCTCCGCAGGTTGGATCGGGAAAATCCGATACATGAATTACGCTGGTATCGGTCCCGATACTGGATCGGATCGGCCCCATCCCTACCTGTGGGCCATAGGCATGCTCGTCAACATCGGAGAACTCGGTTTCTTCATTCACATCCATTGTAACCTGAGCTTGAACTTGACCCATCGTCACTTCCGGTTAGTGCTTTATAGACGCGGAAGTTATTTTATCACAATTTATCTCAAAATATCGTTAATGGCTAAATATATATTACTCCAGTTCAAAAAATCTAGTTGTTTTATCATCAACATACACTATGCTATATAGGGGTGTCCAACCTGCACCTTGCTCTTTAAGGTCTCTCCAGTGCTGGAAAGCTTCCAATATTAACGCAGATCCTACCTCTTGCCTGATCGTAACAAGAGATCGACCGATATATCGGCCGGCCAATTAAAGCTGCAGTAGGGAGTTTTGAGAAAATGTTGACTTAGCCTGAAAATTTGAACAAGCACAACTTACAGGTCCCACCCCCTTGCTCTCTGCTGCGCTACAGCCCTCCCTCCACAGCTCGTCCTCCACAGCGGAGCCTGTCGTGAACGCGCAGGCTAGTAAACAGGGCCACCCATAACAGCGGATAAAAAGTTATATGGCACATTCACTAATAGGGACTAAACGTCAACAATATGCTTTACATTGACTATGGCCTGCCCATACTTTGACTACAAAATTGGTCCTCAAATCATTATGTATTTTCCAATAGCCTACATGTAACTTTATAACGTTGCACTCTTTCTATAAGTTATAAATAGCTAGTAAGATAACGTTAATATAACGGTAACTAACGTTACAGTATGTAAGTAATTATTCTAGCGATATATAATGCTAGATAAGGTGTGCTAGTACATTATTTCAGCAACATGACAAGCCAGTGAATTAGCAGGTTTCAATTGTTGCTTAGCAGAGTGCGTGACATTTTATCTACATGTTATGCGGCTAGAGTTTTAGAGTCAATGGGCTCTGTGTAATTCTTTCTTTTTCGCTTGTTTATCGTCATCGGTCTTTTTCCTTTTACCTCTTTGTTTTATGAGCAAGTGTCACTCGAGAATTGGCAGTTTAGGTTGTTTCTCCGTCATAAGCACAGCTGCAGCTCGCCGGCAATCTTGAGTTTGAACGACGGCTCGCGCTCCGGCGCTCGCGCTGTGCAAGAGAGGGGTGTGATCAGCGCGTACACGAGCGTGATTGACAGTGCTAAGACATTCCTCCTGGCTCTGATTGGTTGTTTCTGACCGGGAGCGTGTATTTCTTGCAAATGGCAATAGGACCTCTGGGAGGAGCCAGAGGAGCTTGATTTTTACACAGATTATCTGTCTCATATTCTACTGTCAGGACATAATGACAGTTTTAGCAAATATATGTTTTCAAAAGTTACCTACAGGAGCTTTAATCGGGCTGATATTACGTGTATCGGCATCGGCCAATACGGCTGCTGCGTTCGCCGATAGTTTTTTCCCGGCATTATTTCCAGGCAGGCGTCCACAGGCAGCTCTGTGTTGCTGGAGACGCTGCAGTTCACGTGCAGATGCACTGCCCCTCCCCCACTAGCACAGTGCTGGAAGCCTGCTCTTCAAGACAGCGGCAAGTTTTAAACTTTCAAAGCATCTTTTTGACTCATAGACTGTAAAAAAAGACTTAGTTTGACTTAGCTGAAAATATTGCCATACACTTTGAAAGTGGAAACACGTTGCTCTATATGTGCTTGCAACTATAGCTAAGCAAGTTTGTGGGTCCAAATGGAAAACGCGAATGCCGAATGCCTCGTCTATAAAACTGCTTTCCATTGTATTTAGGGAGCTGCAAATAGCTAAGTTGTTACGAACACTGGTCATAGGATTAAGTAATGCCGACGTTGTTCCGTGGTATTTGTGGGAGTTTTATTCAGCGACCACCTGGCTGAGGTTTAGACGCGTGTGGTGTGTGTCTCTCCCTCTCTCCGTGAGCTGGGCGGAGTTGCCATCGCAGTGATATCAGAGCGCAAGAAGAGCTTTAATGATGAGATATATGTTTTATAAAACAAAAACAAGGTCTGCAGTAAACACACCTTTCGTGCACATCTTCATGCAGTGTCTCTTGTGGACAAAGTTGTTTTTGTTGCCTCCACAGCCACTGTAGCGAAAAGCCTGGCATCTCCCAGTCCTGGGGTTGTACACGTATCTCCTCTCAGAGCCGTCACAATCGCCCCGATCAACTGGACTCATGCAGATTTCTGGGGGACTGAACTCTGAAATGCAATAACAATATATTGACATTATCATTGCTGTTTAAAATACACTCTCATGCATATTCCACTGAGACAAAACCCATAATAATATGACATATCAAGTTTCAAAGATCAAAGTGCACAACAAAAAAAGTTATTGTCTTGAACTGCCTAAAACGAGTCGTCAGTATTTCCACTCTTACTTCCTGCTCGAACCTACGTAGGTTTGTAACAAATGGTCTTCATTAGTTGACCATGAACAATGTCTACTTTGACCCGTCCTCAAACACTGTAGTTGTAGCAGAGGCCTGGAATAGTTTGGTTCGTGTTGTCGACTTGTCGAGAAGACACTTTTCCAAAAGGTTGAGGACTCGTACTCAAATTGATACTGTATAAAACCGATGCTGTTGTTACTGTTCGTATCACTGTGTATACAAGCGCTGAGGAAGCTGAAAATGAGATATTTTAAGTTTAAGGGGGGTTTCATTTCTGACACGCTCTGTGAGCTTTAGACCAATCACAACAGACTGACCAATCAGAGCAGAGTAGGCTCTCGGAAAGGAGGGGTTTAGAGAGAGACCGGATCCTTTATCAAACTGTTTCAGACACTGTGAGAAAAGAGGTGATGCTGCAATGAGAAAATTATTTTTATTTTTTACCTTGAATGCATGTAAATGTAGGAGACCTCCAAAATCATAATAAAAACTTTTAGAATAGCATAATATGGGCACTTTAATGAGTTATTATTATACATTGCACTGCACTTCTGCTACACAATAGACCTTATTCACAGCAGCGGCATCTTTGATTTTTAACGGGAATGAAAGCGAGGCTGTGAGGGATAGACTTCCCTCTCTTCAGTGGGTTGTACTGTTATTTAATGTGTCTTTGGAGTGTTCTGCTGATGAAACACTGCAAAAATATTTTTTCAAGAAATTTCAGTAGACAAAAAACTTCAGACAACTTGAGCTGTGGAAAATTATAAGTTATCCAGGGGCTTTATACAGCATTTTACAGCGGATGCCATTGAAAACAATCGCTCACAGCCTAAAGCTTTCATACCTGTCATAGCGCTGCTCTGAATAAGGTCAATTGAACAATTAACTATCCACTTTTAATAATAATAATAATAATAATAATGCTTTGTTTATAAAGCACCTTTCCTAAGCTTTAAGGTCACTGTACAGAGTAGCAATACTAAAAATGTTCATGCCCCTTTGCTGCCAAGTACCAATTACTGTAACTGGATTATTTGCAATGTACACTATTGTGCATACTATAAGTAAACCTCACATCTGATCTCTATTGTATCTTATTTTTTGTTTATAGAGTATGTTTTGTTCAACCGTAGATGATGTAAACCGGTAAAGTGGGATACTATGATAATTTGTTATTGATGTTGTTTAAAATATGATCCAAGTTATTACTGTACATCAATGTTATTTTATATTATTACATTAAGTTATTATTTAATGACTAAATTAAAGTTACATAATGATAAATGTTTAAATATAAGTGTACTACTTCCTGTATTTATTATAGCTGGAATGACATTAAACTTTATTTGACTTACATGATCCACTAGATGGCAGTAAAATCTAAGCATCATCCTTCAATGGCGCCACAGAGAGTTTGGCCATCTAATGCTGCGTCCCATTTAGCCTACTTATTCTACACCCTAAATGAATGTACTCTTTTTGTGAAGAAAAGGTACACACTTTTCTGTGTGTAGCAGAAGAGTAGACCAGCTTTGGGACATATTGTACTATCACGTCATACAATTGTGTCTTTAACAGAAAGCTCTGTCACATGGTTGCGCGCAGTCAGTAAACTGGCCTGTTATTTTGTCACAGTTAACATTCTCCACATTTCATTCATTTAATTTCCTACCGTATTGGAGAGAAATGCAGTGGCATGTTGATCTGCAGTCATGGGTCTTTTGTGCGGAGAACTCTCCTCATGTTTTTGCATTATGATGCATTTAAAAGTTAACCCCTTAACTGATTATTGCTGAAGTGAAAGCACTTCAAAAAATGAAAGTATGAAAAAGTTATGGAAGTTTAAATTTACAGTAAATCAAATATACTGTACTTAATATTTTTTCTTTGATATAAAATATATATTTGACAAAATATTGGTTACTATAAAATTACTATAAAATCAAAGCCATATATCCAACCAAGTTGTGTTCCAAATTTGAAGTTGCCATGAGATTTTGTTCAGGCGTAATACCAAAAATAGCCACCGGGTGACATATATTCCATTGAATTTAATTGTATGCATTCTGCCGTAACAAATTAATACATTTCAAAATATGGAACCTTGAGACTCAGACCTTTCTGACAATATGTGTTTTGATCATAAATTATGAAAAATGATGACGCCCAAAAGGGGAGGAGCCCGATAAAATAATTTAGAGTACCGTTTTTATGGTAACGCAACGTCCAATTTCAAAAAGGTTTTCACAGGATGAATTCTGAGTTCGTAAGCTTTCAAATGATACCTAATTTATGATAACTACTAAAATATGTGATGTAATAAAAAAGGCGATAAAAAAGATAGTTATATTTTAAAGGATAATATATATATATATATATATATATATTATACTTTTTAGAGGATAATATTATTTAATTAATTTTTATTGACAAATACTACTTTTAGCATGAAAACCAAAGTTTCAATTATTTTTGTGACTTAATTTTGTGACAAAGGTCAGAACTCCTGTTATGATGTAGATTTTTTGAGGTGCACTCTTGTCATGAATTCATCTATTACTGTTCCTACATAATTTGTAACATAAAACAGTGCTAACATATCTATTTAGGAGTCTTAGACCTTTCCAACGATATATAATTTGTCATGATTAGATTAGGATTTAATTGTAATATAGTGAAGTAAACTTAGGCGTCCCGCTAGCCAAACAGATCTCTATAAAAGTTCACATTGTTGATTATTAGTCACTCCTTTATCTAAACCTCTCTACTTAACTGTGGGTGGCGTGGCGCACAACCAACATGCCAAGTTTGTAGTTTTTTAACACTTTTCATTTGTTTGTAGTTCTGAACCAAATCCTCTTACAAAGTGCAGTGGGCTGTGGGCAGTATTAGCCTTTAGAGTGTGCACGGATCCACACTTCTACTGGAAAAGTAGACCATCTGGGGACTTCTGGCATACTCTTTTCAACATACTTGTGGCGGGCAGGACGAGGTCGAGGGACGTGAGAGAACGGCGCGAGGCCGGTGGCGTGATTAATGATGGGACGCACCGGTCTCGTGCCGTTCTCTCACGTTCCTCGACCTCGTCCTGCTCGCCACAATACTATGCTTTGGGACACACTTATTCTAATCTCACATAGGCCTACTATTTAGGATGGATAGTATGCACATTGGGACGCAGGGTGAGTCATCTTTTAACCCATAATCAATTACTGTAATTAATTAGCAATAACTTTTAACTCAAAAAGTAAATTGCAAATAATAAGTTTGTAAAACAGACCACTGACAGGATGGTTTATCTTAATTCACTTACTATACTTCATTAACCACTGTGATTAAAGAGGCAAATGTGGAGTAGTATGAATGAATAGCCATTAACACGTAACCATATAAATGTTACAATTACAGAAACTGAAATTCAGTTTTTTTTAAATATTAATATTAGGATTAATATCATAAATATCACATATTTGACTGTGATTTGTATGTGTCTCAGTGTGTGCTATCTCTGTGCCAGACTGGGATGTCATGAGCCCTGGAGCTGAGGAGCAGAGAGCAGCTCTTAACTGTCAAAATAAGCAGAAGGAGGCTACGCTGCCCTCTGGACTCAAACAGACTGTCTGACATGAAAACACAGCTGTCTAGAACCCTCTGCCTTCACATCCACAGCTAGTGTGTGTGTGTGTGTGTGTACATGTGTGTGATTCTCACCTGCTTCCTGAGCAGCTGGTTGGGATACTTTCTGCAGTGACACATGGGATACATCCAAAGGAGAATACTCTAAAAAGAACCATATACTTAGTGAATCACATAAAAAGATTTATATAAAAGGTTCTATTGTTCTCATTTGTAAGTCGCTTTGGGTAAAAGCATCTGCTAAATGATTAAATGACTAAATGTATGTAAATGTATCAATGGTATTTCTACAAAACAAAGTTTTTGTGTGATGCTGCATTGGTGCCGAAAAGGTACTAAAAATGACTTTAAAAACAGATCATTGTAATATACAGTATAAATAAAAAGGTTTTCTGACATTATAAACAAGCAGGTTGTGTCTCATCTCACCATGTTTAGTGAGAGGTTCTGTCCTGGGTTTTGCTTCTTCTTCCTCTGGTTTTAATGGAGAATTTTGTTCCATGTGGTTTGAGCCAGCTAAAAGGAGGAAACAAAGTGAAAACATCACATTTGATGTCCTTTTGTTACAGAGGAGTCTTTCTCAGGTTGCACAAACACGCACCATTAAAGGGATAGTTCACCCAAAAATGAAAATTCTGTCATTATTTACTCAACCTCACGTCATTCTAAACCTGTACTACTTTCGTTCATCTTCGAAACACAAATGAAGATATTTTGAATAAAATCAGAGCGATTTCTGTCTCTCCATTGACAGCTACGCAACTACCATTTTGACGCTTCAAAAAGTTCATAAAGAGATCGTAAAACGAATCCATATAAGAGACTCGATCAATTTATATGATGAACAGATAGAATTTAGGCTTTTATTCAACTGTTTAGGCTTTTTAGGCTTGTATTATACTGTTTATGTTCGCTGATCAATGTTTATATGTGAATAAAAGCCTAAATTCAATCTTTTCATCATATAAAGCGAAGTGAAGTGTTTTTGTTGTTATATATTAGCCCGTTTCATTTTCATTTTCTTTTACGACATTTAGGACACCTAGAGATTAAAGGTGCAGTAAGCAATTTCTCTGAAGCGCTGTTGAAAGTGGATTAGACCGAGCATCACAACACACTTGTAGCCAATCAGCAGTAGGGGGCGTATACACTCATGATGGGGGAGGAGAGAGAGTGAGAGTGAGCGTCATTCATCTTTGCTTTTTTTTTCTTTTCGTGAAGCATTATTTTGCCTCACTTCAGCTATCATAAAGTGACATCTAATCTTGTATTGCATGTTCGTGCATGTTGGGGGCTTTAAATATGATATGTATGGTATGTGGAACAGTTATCTAAACAAAAATCCAATTGTGGTAAACAAATAAAGATGTATTGCGTCCACCCTTTGGTTGCCTTATAGTTTTATTAAAAGGTTTTTTGTTTGCCAATTGTTTTCCCACCTTTTCTGACTATAAACAAGCTGCTGCCCCTTTAAGACATCTGTGTAAACGCTCTGTTCACAAGTGAAATAAGATACAGTGCTGTGCTGCTCTGACACTCAAGCTGTTTGTTTGCTGTCTGGTCTAATATACCATAGTTTTTAACAGTATTTATCCTTCAAGGACAATTTAATTCCTAAAGATATAATTTTCTACAGTGCATTTGACTGTTGAAATTACTGCTAAAAATAGAATGCAACGAGCTGGATTTGAGTCTAAATTAAAAGTGCAAATTGTTCTATAAAATGAAGGTTAGAATACCAAAGGGCTGTAACCTTTGTCAAGCACATGACTTTAATTACAGGGCTTGTGCAAAAGCAATATGTTATTATTGAAAATTGCAGAGAAGAGAAATGTTTAGTTGCTGGTACATACGTTGACATTTCTCATGGCATTCTTTTATGGTCTTGAAGTTGTTGGCATTCCCAAAGCAGCCACCATAAAAGAATCGTTTGCATTCTTGGCTCTTGAAATCGAAAAAATAGCGAGGCACCAGTCCTCTGCATGGCCCCGGCTCATCCTCCAGATGACATGGACTCTTGTCCTCTAAAAAAAACAACAACAGCAAAAAGATGGGACAGCCATAAATCATGTGCTCCTTTTCATCAACTTCAGTCTTAGAAAATGTTATGTGTTTTTTTCTTCTTCTTTGGAATACCACATAAAATATCTATGATCATGAGAAATGATCACAGCAGTCTCTGTGACTGATAAACACGAGTTGTAATAACTACACTTTCTGGCTGCAAAAAGCAAAATAGAAATTGTAAACACTTCATTATATTATTTTACCAGTGCCTGATTTTCCATGGTCTCCTCATTGAAATGAATATTTATCCCTGTTTGCTAGCTTTAATTTCACAGCTCTGGATAGTCACTTACAGCACTTTCAAAATAGTTAAAAGTGCGAGAAACTGCCGGCACTTAACATTTTAAAGAAAACAAAATAGCATTCATTTTCCCATTATTTTTATGCAAGATGGATTTTACAATGAGAACACAGAAATTAGCACGACAGATAAAGTATGGCATATTAATATAGATATTGAATGTTTCGTGATTAATCTAGGCAAATATTGGAATTGAATATTAAAGCAGCGGCTTTCACCAGAAGCAGTTTGACCGTTGCCTTAACAGATTTGGCCATAAGCCACAGGCAGGCCGGAGTGATTGATATATTTTCTCTCCATCTAGCACATGCCCTGTTGATATATTAATGGCTGGATTCCAAAGTTCAACAGATTAAAAGAATCACTTAATTTCCTGCCACGTTTTTGCCCTGTAATGCAGAATTTATTTATGGCTACTGCTAATTAAAATATTTCACTTAAGTGGCAATTCATCATGGAGAAAGGCAGCTTTAATCCAATCAGCTGGGAGAAATCGTCAGGGTATTTTGTTGTTCTCTCTTCTTTCGGATAGATTGAATTTACAAGCAACGATGAGTTGCACAAACTTAATCATAAACATCACATAGTGACCATACAGATTGAAGCCGGTTGCTGCTTTTGGATATATAATTCAATGTTAATTGCAGTGTTAACTACTGCTTGAATGTGGTTAAAATGTGATTATGGTCAGGGGAAAAAATAAATAGAAAAGAAGATATTATAAAAATGTATTCTAAAAAGCACATTAGTCTATGTGGGTGCAGCACAGTCATGTGGGTGTCCAAAAAAAACATCCCAAACCGGAACTATTCACTTTATAATCATAGATATAACGCATTCCACCACAACATACAGTATACTTTTATGGGAACAGGGAACAGTTCTCAACGACTCAATACACACACACACACACACACATTGGTGTTCTGTAGAAGAAATAAAGTCTACATGTTTGAAACTTTAGAGTGAGTAAATAATGTAAAAAATGACTAAATAATTTTTTAGGTAAACTATCCCTTTAAGATACTATTGTTGTTGTCAGATTTTATTTGCAAGATTACTTGCCAAAATGGATTATCCCAGTCAGTTAAATACGGCAAGTTTCTGTAGATAAAACTTGCAAGCTAAATAACAAGTAACATACATCAAGTACACCTTATGCTATTTCTACACTGTGTTGTACATGATGAAGTGGGAGAATTCATCAGTCAGCAGCTGAACTCTCTGCATTAGATACTGACTGTGTTCTGATACTCTACGTCCCAGACAGTCGTCCTGAGCGAGAGCGGTGGAGGAATGCTAATTGAGCTTAGCAAATGACCACTCACATACAGCATTAATCAAAAGTTAACATTCATAAGGACACTTAACAAACTGAATATTAATGCTACAAATGGATTATGTAATTTTAAATAGTCATAGTCAATATTCTAGCACATGAAGTGCAGATGTGCTGCATCTAAAACACTTATCAAAATGAATAATTCAAAACTGCTGTTCTCCTGAGCAACCTCTTGGGTGATATTTAGGAAAGGAGATTGTATTGATGCCTGGCTAGTGTCTCTCACTGTGTGTGTCATTTACTCACAAGGCCATAAGCCACAGGCAGCTACTTAGGCGATGGCGCACGGTTGGTTGGGCTCCATGCTCCTCTTGCTTTGGCCTTTAAAATCTGGCTATTTTATGCACTCTGATAGACTTTCTACTGACACCAAGATTTATAAACAGCAAATACGTGAATATGTCAATAAACCAGAAGCCGTAAATAAGAAGGATAAACAACATCAACTAATGAAATACCGGCGTGGAGCAAACAAGCAGCGTCAGCGTTCAGACCTGCTATTCACCTGTTTGGTGTGGCTTCTTCTGCTGCTAATATTTGGATCACTTGTCCTAAGGATTCCTCAAAACGAGCCTGACAGTCTTCTGTGCAACACGCCATACCTGAACAACGTTGGATATGGCCGTTTTACCATCTACTATTCCCTCCTGAAGTTTGGAAATGCACGCGTAATAGGCTTACGCACCAAAGTGGAGCTGGGTAAAAGGAAACAAAATAGTGGGCGCACTATAATATATCTCTCCTTCCTGGTCCTGTTAGCGGGAGACATCCAGCTTAACCCCGGCTCAGACGCTGACTGTGCGCCGCGGGTCCATACTGCCAACGTGGGGCCGGGTCCCGGTGCGGAGATGGAGCGGGGAGCGGCAGGCTGGATTGGTGGGCGGCCGGGGAGCCTCCGCGGCGGAACTAGTGCGTCATCTGCGGTGGCCGGCGGACCCGGAGGTGGTTGGCGGATTTCCAGCGGGAGACAGCTCTGGGCGCTCTGTGCGGGCGAGTGTTCGAACGCCGGCACCGGAGGACCCGGAGGGAGTGGATCCGTCTGTCCACGTCGACCGGGCTGCGGCGGGGGTTGCGCCCACAGATGGCCCGGCGGACTGTTGGAGCGACCTGGTCCAAAGTGGTGCCCTACTTTTGGCGGATTCTTCTGTCGACAAGGCGGAGGAGGCCACACTGGAGACGGATTTAAAATCATTGTGTGCGCAAGGATCCAGAGGCGCTCCTAACCGTAAGACTGACTATACTAAGGGTAAAGTCAATACAACTCATAAAGTCAAGCATAAGCGAACAAACAGAGACACTACTGACAATATAAAAACTTTGCAGTCACAAGCAATAATAAAGCAGAGACAATATTTATTTTTCCAGACAGTAAATCACGCGAAAATAATCTGGGATCGCACAGTAAAGCCCAAGGGTATTTTGGGAGGGCATTTAAATATTAGAAGCCTGTATCCAAAATGTGATGAAATTAGAATTCTTTTAATTGGTTCCAATCTTGATTATTTATGCATAGGTGAAACATGGATGCATGATAAAATCCCCACCTCAATGATAGATGTGCCTGGATATAAGTGCTATAGAAAGGACAGGGTTACTGGTAGAGGAGGTGGAGTTCTGGTTTATATTAAAGACTCCTTTAAGACTAAGGAAGTCCAATTAGATGAATCTCTATCAATTGAAAGTCTATGTGTAAATGTGGCTCTATCCTCACGCATGATGTTTAACATCCTTGTGGTGTAAAATCCACCATCTAGTTGCCTACAAACTTTTTATCAAAATCTAGAAAAAATTCTCAAATCTTTTAAACCGAACAGTGAGGTGCTTATTTATGGAGATATTAATGTTAATTGGTTAAATAAATCCAGTAGGAAACAACTCAAAGAACTAGCATCAAAATATGACTTTCATCAATTTGTAAAGGGACCCACTCGCCTGACAAAAACATCACAGACAGCAATAGATTTAGCTTTCTCAAATAAGCCGGAAAGAGTTTTAAAAACATACAATCTGGTGTGTGGCTTATCAGATCATAACATGATATTAATTTCCAGAAAACTCTCAAAAAAGCGTCTAAATGAATATAAAAATCACCAAAAGGTAACTAAGTTAATAATTCCCCGTAAGGATCTTATTAAAGTTGAGAATGAGTTAGCAAACACTAATTGGGATGAAGTCTCACAACATAATCAAGTGAACGAGTGTTGCGATATATTTACTTCCACAATGAGTAACATTTTAAATAAGTTCTTAAAACAATGTAAAAGGCCACAAAGAAAAGTGCAGCTTCCATGGGTAAGTGATGCAGTACGACAGTTAATTAAAAAAAGAGATTTTGCTCTAAAAACCTATCTTAGAACCAGATATGACACAGATCTGATGTTATTTAAAGGTTTACGAAATCAAGTAGTAAAAGAATTGCGAAACTTAAAAGCAAACTATTATATGAAAATTCTAACTGAAGCTAAAGGAAATTGTAAAGCAATATGGAAACAAATAAACAGCCTAATTAAACCTAATGCAAATATAAATAATTCATATGAACTAAAATGTGAAGGAAAAAACATATCAGACCCTGTCCAAGTTGCTAATGCCTTTAATCAATTTTTCATCAAATCTGTTGAAGATCTTGCTTCTAATTTTTTAGATGAGGAGCCCAATAGTAGCAACTTAAATATATTGTCATCAGCAAATGAGAATTCTTTTAAAATTAGAGAAGTGGATCAGGCAGTGGTATTGAAAGCCATTTCAGACCTGAATACCAACTTTTCCAAAGACAACTACAACATAGACGCAACTTTCCTTAAACAATATGCTCAAATTATCATTCAACCTTTGACCCACATTATAAATGTCTCTATTAAAACGGGGATATTTCCAGATGCTTGGAAAAAGGCACTGGTTAAACCCATCTTTAAGTCCGGGAATACCACAGACGTTAGTAACTATCGACCAATAAGTCTAGTTCCGGTAATGTCAAAAATACTAGAAAAAATAGTTTCAGAACAGCTAACTCAATACTTAGAAACACAGAAATATATACACCCTCAACAGTATGGTTTCAGACAGAACCATTCCACTGAATCAGCTATCTGCGCTTTATTGGAAAATATTGTGCAGCCGCTTGATAAAGGAAACATTGTGGGTGCAGTATTCCTGGACTTAAAGAGGGCATTCGATACAGTAAACCATAGCCGTCTTATCTCAAAACTGTCAACCTATAATACGTCACACCAGGCATTATCATGGTTTGAGTCATATTTACAGGGACGAGAACAATGTGTAGTAATTGATCATGTAAAATCTGCCCCATGTAAAATTAAGACCGGAATCCCTCAGGGAACCATACTGGGGCCTATTCTCTTCAGCCTGTATGTGAACGAGCTGCCTGAAGTGTGTCCGGAAGTGGGTCTTCAGATGTATGCCGATGACATGGTGGTTTATGTGTCCGGCAAAAGCCCTGCTGTTGTCGGCAGTACACTGACCAAAAGTCTTGAGAAAGTGTTTAATTGGCTAAACAAATCATGTTTAACACTTAATCTGAAGAAAACTAAGTCTATGTGTTTTTCGATAAGGGCTCGGACAATAAATGACCTTAACATTAAAATGAATGGCGAACTAATCGATCAGGTAGAACAAGAAAAATATTTAGGAGTGATTTTAGATTCTCAGCTAAATTTTAAAAGTCATATAAAAAACATTTCAAGAAAAATGAAGGCCAGTATGAACTGTTTTAGAATGATCAGGAGCTGTCTTACATTTGAATGTGCTCATGTATTTCTGAACACTATGATCATGTCCCACCTGTCGTACTGCACCACCGTTTGGTCCCAGACCAGCCAAACTACCCTGAAGCCTATTGAGAGGCTTTATAACCGGGCCCTAAAAATTTTAGATGAAAAGCCCATTCGATTCCACCACTGTTATATTTTAAGTAAACATAAAATCTTAAATTTTGTAAATTTTGTTAATCTCAGACACATTAAGTTGTTTTTTAAATGTTTAACTGGACTTGCACCTGAGCCACTTTGTAAATTTGTGAACAGGCTGGAACCCTCCAGATCAACAAGAGCTGCTACTCGTGGAGACTGTAAAGTTCCATTTTTTAAAACTTCTTTTGCCCAAAATGTTTTTTCAGTGAAAGGAGCCAATCTGTGGAACTGCCTTCCTACAAATATAAAGATTTTAACTAAACTATCCACCATTAGAAAACTAACAAAAGCCTGGTTCATACAGCAGCAGCAGTGTAATCATGCCATATGAAAGGAATATCCGTGTGTATGTGAGGTGTGCATCTAAGTTCGAGTGAACGTGTTTATTTACCAATTTTATTGGTGCTAACTGGTTTCTAGACATTTTATTGTATTCACTGTCATTTTTTTTTACTCCTTTATTATCCTAACTGTTAAAAGCCCTTCTAGGGACAGGTGTTGCGAATTAGCCTTGGCTATAAACACTGTGATACAGGCATCGGATTGTTCTTTATGGAATAATCTATGTTTTTTTGTATCTGTCCCTATTCAAATAAACAATAAATAAATAAGGACAGGACTTATGTGTAATATGTCTAACTGAGTGCCCATTAACAAAGATGTCAGCAAGACAGGTAATTTCAAGAAGGTTCTGCACCAGCTGACCAACAATCATTGAGATGAATATAAATGCTATGGAAAGCATAATAGACCTCCTTGGCTCAAACAAACAGATTGCAATCTCATTTACAGAAATTACACACTTTATATTTCAAAAGAAATGTGTAATGATACTGGATCAGTCTCAGAGGAAAAACTTTCAGAAAATGATGTTTCTCTCCTCGTATGTCTCTTTCTTTGTCTCATTCTTGAAATACAAAAGCAAAAACAAGCCACTCTTTAAAGTGCATTGATGATTTGATTCACTAGATGGAGACATTCATCATAAATATCTCACAGTGGTTTATTATTTGATGTTGGAGCTTAAATGCAAACAGTGTGGACTCATTTAATTGTTCCCTTTTTATTTAGAAGATGCTTTTATCCAAAGCGACTTGCAAATTAGGAACATCACAAGCAAGAGCCAAAGTACCGCAATGCAGAGTTACAAGAGTAACAATGCAGAAAAACAGAGAAAAGGGAAAGGAAGAGGAGATCCATTTAGTGTTATGGTTAGGTATAGAAGAGTTTGTGATGGTGCTGCTAACATCAGAGCTTCGACCAAGAGGAGTGTGACATTAATCCTCTTTGGTTCATTGAAGACCAGATGTTATGTTAGAAGGGTTGTTATGTTAAAAGGGTTCAAATGTTCTCTTTATTACCAGGAAAAACAAGTTTGGTGGCCACAGAAATTAGAAACGGACTTGGCAGAGCTGAAGATAAACAGGAGCATGTGGTAAAGGGAGCAGGAGAAATGAATCCAAACACAGCAGTCAATTTCCTCTTCTGCCTCTATGGGGGATCTTTGGCAATCCTTCAGGCATTTACGAGTGCTGTGTCCTTGGAGGTGTTTGTCCAAATGAGCTGCAAAGTTTCTGTTTTCCCCACTCTGTGATGGGACTGAGGCTTGTTTAGTAGTCACATGACAGAGTCTGTTTTGTGCTGATTATTACGATGATCTCTCACAGGGGCCCGTCCAATTCACAATGACCCCCACTGGAAAGCGTAATGAGATATGACTCACCCAACCAACCAAAGTGCTTTAAATAATCCAATGTGGCTTGGCTTTAATGTGAACCGCACATTTGTCCTCTTTTTAATTGGAAAAGGACCAATAATTCTTTATTATTCTAGCAGAAATAATCAGATTGTTTAAATGGTATCTCCCTCATCTCAGCCTTGGCTTGTTGCCATGAACTGGACTCTTTGTTCTCGAGTAATCTCCATTTCTGCCTTTATATACTAATTTAATGCCAATATTGAAGATGAAACGTAATTTGATATTTGGTTTGTTTGCTTTTCCTTGCATTAGAATTCTTTGTATTCATCAAAGCACTGCTTTGAAGGATTACAAAAATGCATTACTCCATATATGGCTTCCCAACATACACATATATGTGTATATGTGACATACACAATGTCTTTGTTTGAAAGCATTTGTTCTGAACAAATCAACTGCTTTTCTTCTGGTCTAAGTCTCTGTATTTTTTAAGCATCTGTCATGCCCTCAACAAAATAATACAGTTCAAGTAATAATCATGACACTTCTATACTAAACCATAATTGAAGTACCGCACCAATGCCTTACATTATTGTTTTTTATGGGATGTTAATGAGTCATTGGGAAAGACTGCCTCATGGTGAACTCTTCACTGTTCCCATAAAAGTATATGTTGTGGTGGAATGCCTGTTATATCTATGAGTATAAAGTGAATAGTTCCGGTTTTGGATGCTGATTGGTCAATACAGCATTCCAGATGTAGTAAAGTACAGATATGACATGCAACACCCACATGTGCTGCACCCATAGACTAATGTACTGTTATTGTTTCATGTCAGAGATTACACTGGGTCCATAAAGCTGATAACAACGCTTCATTTTTCTCATATAAACTTACTTAAAAGAAAATATTTTCAGGAAAAAAAGAAAAAACAATGACATTCCGAAATTCATATTAAATCATCTTTTCAGTCAAGTTGTTATGCTGATAGCAAAAAAGATTCAATTTATATACCGTATTTACTACTATAGTATTTAGCTTATATTCTTATTATACTTTCAGTTTTCATTTTAGTTAATATTTTGTAATTTGATGTGCTTTTGTCATTTTCAGTTTACAGGTGAATGAAAACCCCAATTCAAAATTCGAATAATGTGAAAAGGTGTTCAGCTGTAAGCCATAATCATCAAAAATTATAACAAATAAAGGCTTGAAATATCTCACTTTGCATGTAATGAGTCTATACAATATATCAGTTTCACCTTTTAAGTTGAATTACTGAAATAAATGAACTTTTGCACGATATTCAATTTTTTTTAGTTTCACCTGTATATAGCTTCAATACATTTTTATTTCAGTTTTAGTCATTTTAGTATGTAAACTTATTTCAATGAGTTACCAAGGCATTTATTCATTTAATATTTATAATAATATAATATTTTTAGTTAACAGTTACAACACTGTTAGAAAAATGGGTAACACTTTATTTTACAGTGTCGTCCAGTGTTACACATGTCCCTATAGTAAGTACATGTTGTTAATTAATATTACTCAGTACTTGTAAATATATATAACATAAAATAAAGTGTAACCAAAAAAAATGCAAAACAGAAGCACTTTAACTAGTACTTTAAGACTTTTGGTACTATTGTATATTGAGTTAATGGATTAAGTTATTCAAAATAATACCTTTCCTTAATATTTTTCTGTAGTAGGTGTTTCATAAAAGCAATAAAGCCCTCAAAGCTGTGCTATATAGTGATTATATACTCTGCTGAGCATTGCTCTTCATCTTTGACTCACTCACAATATTGCACAGCCTCTCATAACTTATAGCTTCATTCTATATTAGTAATATGTGCTTTTACTTAACCCAAGATACGCTTATCTGGAATGCTGTTTATAGCATAGGTGTGTGGAATACTGCCATGACACATGAGTCTGGGTCAGGTCATCCAATATACTGAGTGAAAATGAAATGGGACTAACACATTCTGAAAGATGCATTGATTCTGAAAAAGGTTATTGAATGGTTATTCGTCATTGAAAAGTTAGGTAAAGATTGCCTTACCTTTCACATGACACATATCCTCGCACTCCTGCAGGGTCTCGAAATTGTTTGCATTGCCTTGACAGCCTCCATATTCAAAGAGCTCACAGCGACCTGTGTCAATGTCGAAGTAGAACCTGTCCTTCATTGCCCTGCACGGCCCTTCAGCTTTCTTCAGGGCGCATGAGTGATGGAATATGTGGAGTTCAGACCTCACTCCATCTGCTGAGGGTGGAAGGAAGCCAGAAGTTATAATATGCTCTGTACATAATTTACTAAACTCTGCGTGCTAAATTTAAGCCATCTATAAGCTTTCACCTAAGGCTTTGTAGGGGGTAAAAGAGCTTTCTGGCACTGGAAATTAACCATACACCTACTTTTAATAGAGTCGGCCTTGCTTAAAGAGATCTCAATGACATGAAAGTCTTTAGATTTTTAGGGATATCACAGCTTTGCCCTGGGTGTTTAATGCTTGGGTAAATCAGGATGAACCTCCTACACCATTCCACTCTCAAGCCAACGAGGATGATAAAGCACTCTTTCTTGAATATAAATTTGGACGGTTTAAATAAAAAAAATATATATTTTAACCCCAGAAATAGGTTCTTAATCCCTACCATGAATCAACCATATTAGTCTGTTCTAAGAGAACGTGCTGGGTAAAGTGAACTAAGTGGACCTTCCTGTTCACACAACAAGGACTGAATCCAAAGTGGCACAAACTAAAGTAACAGATGGTCTTGGACTTGAGTGACAACATCCTGTGGGTGGCTGGATTACTTATCCTGTCACATCCTGATGTTCATCTCCCCACTGCTCTCAAAATCCTCTCTCAACCCTGGCCTCGGGTTGGAGAGAGTTCTGCTGAGGTATTCCAGAGGCTCTGGATAAAATTCTTGCCTGCATAAAAGCAGGAAACACCCCCCCACCATTGCGTGATGGGTTTGCCATTGTAGAAAATAACAAAGGCATCAATTTTCTTATTTTCATTATTATCTAATGCAGACAAAGAAGAACACACTAAGGCCCCATCCACACTACTGCGTTTTAGTTAAGAAACGGATAATTAAAACGAATACGATCTCCGTCCACACCAGCGTTTTAGCTGCGTATTAGAATTGATCTCCGTCCACATTAAAACGACTGAAAACGCGGATCATGTGACCATTCACCAACACTGGCACACAACTTCATTGATACAATTATCCCACCATGCTCTGGGTTAACCCCAAACCGACGCTCCATGTACGGTCAACGCCGCCGCTGCACACGGGAATTTTCACAGATCGCTCGAATAATAGCTTGACTCCGGCGCATGTAGGCAGTTATAGCGTTGTAAAATGCAGAATTTACTTGTACAACAGCTGCTAGCAAAGATATACGCCATGACTGATGACACCCAATCATAGAGCCGAGCGTGAGCCTCTACTACGTCATCGTTTCTAAAGTCCTCCGTTTTGACCCGTCTACACTAAAACGCCCTCCGGAGATTCAAAACGAAACGGATCGGCAGCGTTTCTAAACTTCTCCGTTTTGGGTCTCCGTTTTTGCCGTTTTAGTGTGGACGGGAGGTGCAAACGTAGCAAAAGGTCTCCGTTTTTAAACGAAAACGAAGTAGTGTGGAAGCCTGGTCCACACTACTGCGTTTTCGTTTAAAAACGGAGACCTTTTGCTAAGCCACTCATAGAAAGTGCTCACATGAGTTTTCACTGATGGGTCTATTTGCCCACACAAATTTAAAGTAGGGATGAATGATATATATTGGCCACCATATCGGTATCGGCCGATATATGTTCATTTTTAATGTTATCGTTATCGGTCCGACAAGAAAATTTGGCCGATATATTGAAGCCAATAAATAAGGGATTATTTCCTTAGCTTCTATACATTGCTCACATACACTTCCGTTCAAAAGTTTGGGTCTTTAGACTTTTTAAAATAAGATTTTGTAACGTTTTTCTTTTTGATTGCTGTGTATGGCTAAGTGTTTATCAAGCTAACCAGAGAACTCCCTTGCCTTACAAGTCGTCAAACACATGATTCGGCTAGTTCGGTTCCGTAAACTTGATGACAAGTACTCCGGTCTTCAGTATCAATGTTGAAAACAGTTGTGCTGCTTAATATTTTTGTGGATACGTTTTTTTTTTTTTTCAGGATTCTTTGATGAATAGAAAGTTGAAAAGGACAGTGTTTATTTGAAATAGAAATCTTATGTAACTGTCACTTTCTTAATGTTTTGTTAATCAATGTTTTGTTACTGACACTTTTGAACAATTTATAGCATCATTGCTGAATAAAAAGTATTAATTTCTTTAAAAAAAAAAACATAGTGATTTAATCTTTGAAGACTTTTCACAGAATTTGGGGTTTTGCTAAATCTGAGCAGCATGGGCGGCACTATAGCAGTGCTTCAGCACCCCCAAGAGAGACCAAAGCACCCCGATAGCATCCCCAAAAATAATTTCTGGAAGCAATTATATTCAGGGTGTATTCTATGGAAGCCCTGAACCGCATGGTGAAAAAAAAAAGAAAACTTATCTTGTTATTTCGAGATATTAAGTCGTTATTTCAACATAATATCTCGTTATTTCTACATAATAAGTCGTTATTTCAACATAATATCTGGTTATTTCAACATAATATCTGGTTATTTCTACATAATAAGTCGTTATTTCGACATAATATCTTGTTATTTCAACACAAGTCGTTATTTCGACATACTATCTGTTATTTCGACATAATATCTCATTATTTCGACATAATAACCCGTTATTTCGACATAATAAGGGGACATTCTAATCTGCATTAAGCCACATTAAGCGTTCTTATAATGGTTTTCTATGGGAGGAAAATGCTTAACATGTAATCAAATATGTTGCGTTCATATTCTGGGCTCATCTGATATTTTGTACATAGTATAGCCTACTTTATTATGATTTTAGTATCATAATGATTAATAAATGCCCGCACAATTATCCGTGAACTTGATAAATGTTGCAGATATGGTTTACTATGCAAACAAATGCCTTTCAACTTATGTGTGCAAAATTCTGAATTAAATGAATGTGCAGCAATTTGTACAAACAGAGAGTCTGTAGGCCTACTACTACTACAGAGAGTCTGTAGGCAGATGATGTTCAACTGTACAGCTCGTTCAAGGAAACTGAGTTCCATAAATTGACTTCTTTAACTAACTGCTTGACTAGTATTAAACAGTGGTTTTGTGACAACTTCCTGCTTCTGAACTCAGAGAAAACAGAAACACTGATTATCACGCCTGAAAGTAAAATTCCTCAGATTAAACAGCATATTGTTGACTTAGACTCGTCTGTTCAGTCGAGCAATAGGAACTTAGGTGTTGTTTTTGATTTTGCGATGTCTTTAGGGTACCACTCTAAACAATTAGTCAGAAACTACTTCTTCCAACTAAGGAATATTTCCAAATTAAGAATACTGGTGTCAAAGGGAGAGTTAGAGATGATTATTCATGCTTTTATTTCCTCTCGTTTAGATTTTTGTAACAGTCTTTTTACCTGTTTGAGCAAGAAGGAGCTTTATCGTCTCCAGGCTGTTCAGAACTCTGCTGCAAGGCTTTTAACTCACACTAACAAAAGAGCACACATCTCTCCTGTATTAGCAGCACTTCACTGGTTATCTGTCCAGCATAGAATTCAATTTAAAATCCTGGTCCTTATACTTTTAGAGCCCTACATGGTCAAGTTCCTTCTTACATCTCTGAGTTGATACAGCTTCATACTCCGACCCGTAGTTTGAGGTCATCAGGTCAGAGGTTGTTAGTGGTTCCTCATACTCATTTGGCTGTGGAATGCTTTACCTCCTTTTCTACGTTGTATGAATTGAATTCTGTTGATTCGTTTAAAAAGCAACTAAATACGCTGCTATTTAAGCAGGCATTTGGTTAGACGTGGGGTTTTTATGGTTTTGTTTCTATGTTTTCCATTTAGTTTTAAATTTTTTCATGTATTGTATTATACTTTGTTTTATTGTATCACATTTTATTGTGAAGCACCTTGTGATTTTTTATGTGTGAGAGGTGCTATACAAATAAACTTACTACTACTACTACTACTATACGTGTTGTAGCCATTAAAAAAGCACATTTAGTTTCATATTTGTTCAAATATTATAATGTTATTTTTTTCCATCTATGTTGATTATAAAAAGTGAACAGCATGAGTAAGATAGGATGCGCAATATATCGGGAGACATGGAGTGGGTCAGACATGATTTTGACCACTTCATTAAGTTTTGTTTTGTAGAAAGCCTTTCTTTATGAGTGAATTTCGTTTTAAATTGTATCTTAATTTTAATAAATTTTTCATCAACCAATTGCCTGGATTTAATAAATAAGAAGCAAATATAGCAGACAATATACAGTAATCATGACATGGAGGCGCCGGCGCGGTCACTTGCATTGCATGTGAACTGGAGCGCATCTCATCATAAATTAACCGAAACTCAGCGTATACCTCACAGACATGAGAAATATATCTAGAGAAAGCTTGAAATGTCTTTAAACGAAACAATTAAAAACAAAAAGAAATTATGTGCATTTCTCTCTATAGGTGCGTTCACTAATATAAGGAGATGGCGATCGTCAACTTCATCTTTGCAGCCGACACTGACACAGAAAACACTAGTTTATTAATAAAAATCAATGCACGCGATTATAATTAAAATAATTGAATATTAAATATTGAGTGACCAAGTTTTGCTTATTTATTAATAGTATTTATATATTTATATATATATAATTGCGCAGCTCCCCGTCAATGATCTAGCACCCCCTCAAGCACCTGCGTTAAAGATTCTCTGGCGCCGCCCCTGGACAAGAGACTTTTTTACTCAAGAGAAAAAAAAGAGAAGCAGAAGATGCAAGTTAAGTCTAGAAATAGATTTCATTTATGATTTTTATTTCCTATGAGCTACTGTACATACTGAGATAAAAAAATATATTTTTTCTTCTCTTATCATAAAAATTGTAAATGTCCAGAACAGCTTGAGAAACTTTTTATTATTTATTATGTTATTACTTTTTATATATATTTTATCTTATCATAAAGCATTATGAAAAAGATAATGGTAAAATATGCTGAACAAGATAATTACATCAATTATGTAAGCCAGAATTCCAGAGGACCTGTTTTTTCTTCTCCATTTCCATGGATACAACAGCTTTTTAAGACAACTTTTTAAAGGTTTTA